CCAGCCCACCTGTCAAAACATCTGATGAACTCATTGATTGACAAGTATTTTGAAGCACCAGGCATCACTACCTTAACACAGAATTACTGTAAATCTTGTACTATATGTGCTAAATGCAATCCTGGAAAGATTATAAAGACCGCACCTAATCACCTAGCCAAGCCACAATACCCCTTTCAGAGGATCCAGATTGATCACATTCAGATGCCAAAGAGTGGACGTTATGAATATGCATTGGTCATAGTGGACATGTTTTCAGGATGGCCAGAGGCCTTCCCAGTGACTAATCTCACCGCGAGGACTACAGCCAAGTATCTCTTGACAGAAATTGTTTGCCGCTATGGAGTTCCAGAAGTAATTGAAAGTGACCAAGGGACCTCCTTCACTGCCTCACTAACACGGGAAGTCTGGCCAGCACTGGGGGTGACCCTTGCATTCCACACACCATATCACCCACAGGGTAGTGGTAAGGTAGAGCGCATGAATGGCACTTTGAAAGCCAGAATGCTTCAAATGTCACAAGAAACTAACATGCCCTGGCCCGAGAGTCTCCCATTAGCGTTGTTTAGTGTAAGGTACAATCCTAGGGGAAAATATAGCCTATCACCTTATGAGATTTTGTTTGGTACAGCACCCAGGTTAGGTTGTTACTTTCCCCAACAGCTTCAGATTCAGTCAGATGCTATGGTAGACTATGTGACTGCCCTCTCACATGCCTTGACCAAAATACATGCCCAAGTGTTTTCTTCTATTCCAGATCCTGAGTCAAATACAGGTACACACAAGCTGCTTCCTGGTGATTGGGTTATGGTCAAGAAGTTTCTCAGGAAACACACCCTAGAACCAAGATTTGATGGCCCATATCAAGTGCTCCTGATTACAGCAACGTCAGTTAAACTAGCCGGGAAGACTTCTTATACACGCCTCACATTGCAAAAAAGTGCCTGCTCCTGAAGAGGCTAATCTTGCTGAAATATGAATTTATTATGTGTCTTGTGTTTTCTTATGCTGCTACACTTTACCTGGGCCCAACAAGCGGCCATAACCAAAGATAATCATGTTTACACTTTTCTGGTACAATTCTTCTAACACAGATGTAGCTACATACACCTTTGATTACTGTGACATAGTTGTTTGCACCTTTTCCACAAACACAATATGCAGCCATATACAAAGACATACCTAGCAAAAAGGCTCACCTCACCAGACTGGGTAGGAACCACTCACATGACTATTAACACGTTAAAACCACATATTAAGACTCTACATGACATGGTAGCTATAGCCAATCCCACCTTTGAAGACACTATGACAGTAGAGACTGGGTTTTCAGACACTAATTTGTGGCTAGAATGGATGAGATATAACGCCAACTCACATAATAAGACTAACTGTTATGTATGTGGAGGAGCCAGGCCCCATCTGGGCACAGTACCTCTATGCCTACCTCCTGAAGTAGAATTATGTGTTCTGAGTCTTTATGCACAATCCACCACCAACTCCTCAACATGTGAATCATGGAAAAGGGTTTACCCAATCACTCATGGATATGTCAAGCCACCTGATGGAGTCACCATCTATCCAGGTAATTACACATGTTATGCTATACCTAAGAATACTGGTGTGTATCTGGGCAGATTCCCCTCTGGATATTGCTCAACCTACCATAGCCCACCTGTGTCACTGCTAATAAATCATGCAAAGACCATTGGAGATATCTATTGGTTATGTGGTGACAGACAATTGAGGTCCCAATTAGCTGAGCAATGGTGGGGGGAGTGCGCCCTAACCAAAGTCATAATGCCTATCCACATTATTCCAGATGGTAGTCATAACACGTTAAACCTTACACATGTACACTCTAGAACCAAACGAGGGGCTCCTATCCGAGGGAGCTTTGACCCCCATGTGTATATTGATGCCATAGGTGTGCCAAGGGGGGTGCCTAAAGAATACAAAGCAAGAGATGAAGTGGCTGCAGGATTTGAATCCCTAATTCCAATGATAACTGCTAACAAAAATGTCAATTGGATTAACTACATTTACTATAATCAACAGCGCTTTGTCAACTACACTAGGGATGCCCTACAGGGCCTGGCAGAGCAATTACAAGCCACTACCCAAATTACATTTCAGAACAGAATGGCCCTAGATATGATTTTAGCTGAGAAAGGGGGTGTATGTAAAATCCTCCCTGAGACCATGACATGTTGCACATACATTCCAGACAACACTGGGCCCAATGGTAAGGTGACTATGGCCATAGAGAAGCTAGATAGTCTTGCAGACGAGCTAAAGAAAAATTCAGGAGTCACTGACACTTGGGACAGATGGTTTGGATGGATGAATGGTTGGCAGAGGACCCTTTTCCAGGTAGGGACAGCTGTTCTTATAATGATCATCATTTTCTTATTTCTAACCTGTTGCGTACTCCCTTGCATACAGAAGTACTTACAAAAAGCAGTAGATAAGACTATAGTTGACGTGACCCCTACTTTCCTACATCAGGACGTCACAGACCTCGAAGATGACACACCACATACACCCCTTCAAGCACATCAGTTCAAACAGACAACTGCTTTCCTGTAGGGATAGTATAGGGAAAGCATCTGTCTTGGCAGGCGAGTCTCACGTGTGGAGATGTAGTGGATTAGCCGCTGCGGGTTACCCACGGAGTGAAGTGTTCGATGCCTACTGAGATAGATTAGGAGCATATCATTAGGGATATATTAGGGACAGTAGCAGTTGTTATGGTAAATAGCCATTTTAGGGGGGACTGTTGTGGAAATAAGGTCTACACATATTTCCTAGTTAAAGGAAAATGTCTATTTACTCATCTCACATTATGCTATAGAGTTAAGCACACATGTTTAATCAAAATGGCTGCTAGAAGCTTCTAACCCCTTCCTCCCCCTGCCCCTTTAAACACCGACTAACTACCTTGTGCAGCAAGATGGCGCCGGGAAACCGTGGGAGACCCTCATGGACCTGGTGACATGAAATATTGACATATTTTTAGCTAGTAAAATGTCTATTTACTTCATTTAGTTATACTTAATATTATTCAATAAATTACTAAACTGACCACTAGATGTCACTCAGGAGTACCCCACCCATCGACCAAACACTCTAATTTTCAAGATGGCACTGGAATCCTGGGGGAGAACTCCATGACGACAGTAATGACATAAGAAGGCACACCCTGTAGGACGTGCTTTGAATAAAACACTTAACACTTAACCAATTATTGATGTATTATTCCATGTTATCTCTGACAATGCTTATGATGTAATTTTGCTTTAAAAGGGACCTGCCGTCCCCTCTGAATAAACTTTCCTCAAGTTATTCAACAACCTAGAACCTGTGTCTGGTGTGAATTACTTCAGGGAGCGTGCACGCATTGTTTCATTGATTTGGCCAGGGGCAGATACACAAAGAAATAATCAATACTTTAATTGATTTTTCCATTTCAGTTATACTTTCTGATATTAATTTTAAACCGTTGCCCCTCTAATTTAAAACTATGCCATCTTGTTGTGGTAGTTTTTCTTCTTTTAAATTTAGTCTCCTCCTTTACTGTATTGATTCCCTTTATGTATTTAAATGTTTCAATCTTATCCCCCCCGTCTCATCTTTCCTCCAAGCTATACATGTTAAGATCCTTTAACCTTTCCTTGTACGTTTTATCCTGCAATCCATGAACCAGTTTAGTAACCCTTCTCTGAACTCTCTCTAAAGTATCAATATCCTTTTGGAGATATGGTCCCTTGTCTTGTTACAACTACATGTCTGTTCGTCCACACACCGTAAAGCGGTGCGGAATTTGTTGGCGCTATATAAATAACAACATAATAAGTGAGGTCTCACCAGTGTTCTGTACAATGGCATGAGCACTTCCCTCTTTCTGCTGCTAATACCTCTCTATATACAACCAAGCATTATGCTAGCATTTCCTACTGCTCTATTACACTGTCTGCCCACCTTTAAGTCATCTGAAAATATTACCCCTAAATCCCTTTCCTCAGATGTTGAGGTTAGGACTCTATCACATATTCAACACTCTGCCCTTGGGTTTTTACTTCCAAACTGATTATTTTGCACTTATCCACATTAAATGTCAGTTGCCAGAGCTCTGATCATTTTTTGGTTTACCTAAATCATTTGCCATTTAGCATATCCCTCCTGGAACATCAACCTTGTCACACATATTTTTGTATCATACCTTGTATCAGGCCTTCTGCAATATCACTAATAAAAATATTAAAGAGAATGGGTACAAGCACAGATCCACGAGGTATCCCATTGATGACAAGACCTTACTTCGAATATACTCCATTAACTACAACCCTCTGTTGCCTGTCCCTCAGCCACTGCCGAACCCATTTAAAGGATCACTCTAGGGTCAGGAACACAAAAATGGATTCCTGACCCTATAGTGCTAAACCCACCATTTAGGTGGCTTGCCCCCCCTTAACCCCCTATAAAAGTTTAAAACTCATCTTATCTTCAGCACCGCGCGGGTCTACCGGGGCTGGCTCCGCCCCCTTTGTGACATCAAAATGGCTGCTTTTTAGCCAATCCAATGCATTGGATTCGTTCAAATCAGCACAGGGACGGGGCAAAATGCAGGTCTCTATGAGGAAAATTCAGCAACTCCATGCAGAGCGTGGGGACGCTGAATGGCAGGGCTGCTTACGGTGCAGCCCTGAGCCAGGAAGCCCCTCAAGAGGCCATAAATGCCTGAAGGGAGCCATTATACTCACCAGAACAACTACATTAAGCTGTAGTTGTTCTGGTGACTATAGTGTCCCTTTAACAATATTAGAATCCAAACTTAAAGATTACAGTTTATTGATAAGCCTTCTATGTGCGACAGTGTCAAAAGCCTTTTTCTAAAATCTAGGCAAGCAATGTCTACTGCACCACCCTTATCTATTATTTTTGTTACCCAATCAAAAAAATCAATACGATTAGTTTGGCATGATCTCTCTGAAGTAAACCCATGTCTCTGATCTTGAAATCCATGTGATTTTAGATGTTCAACAAGCCTATCATTCAACATGGTTTCCATTCCTTTTCCCACAACTGAAGTAAGGCTTACTGGCCTATAATTGCCAGATTCCTCCCTACTACCTTTCTTGTGTATGGGCACAACATTCACTAATTTCCAGTCTTCTGGGACTACTCCCATGAACAATGATTGGTTAAATGAATCTATTAATGGTTTTGCTAGTATACCACTTAGCTCTTAATAACTTTGGGTGTATTCCATCAGACACCATAAAAAAAAAAAAAATCTTTGTGCCTAATCTTATAGACCTGTCTATCTTCCTTACTCTGGACTTTTTTTATAATTACTAAATGCTAACATTTTTTGTTAATTTTATTTACTATTTTGGCCACTTCTGCGGAGTACCACAGTGGTTTATTTTTTTTTGCGCCAACTGACAAGCCTAATGCAATTTTCTGTTGCCTTCAGTAGTGCAACTTTTAAATATATACTCGAGTATAAGACAAGTTTTTCGACATTTTTTGTGCTGAAAATCCCCCACTCAACTTATACTCGAGTCAAGGTCTGTATTATGGCACCTTACATTACCATAATACAGACCAGGACCGCCAGGCTCATTACAAGCCCGGCGGTCCTGTTGGGGCATGGCAGCGAGCTGTTACTTACCTTTCCTGCAGCTCCTGTCAGCTCCCTTCTCCTGCGTTCCGGTCAGCTCCCCACTGAAAGTCTTGCGAGAGCCACGGCGTCAGAGCGTTGCCACGGGTTACCGTTGCAACACTCCGCGCGGCACTCAGACCACGAGACTTACAGTGGAGCTGACCGGAAGGCAGGAGAAGGGAGCTGACAGGAGCTGCAGGAAAGGTAAGTTACAGCTTGCTGCCAGCCCCCCTCCTACACAGCCAATGCCACTGGACCACCAGGGAATGAGAGCCCCCCTCCCTGGCCAGCTAACAAGTAGGGAGGGGGGACAAAAATAAAGAAAAATGTAAATATTAAAATATAAAAAAATAATTAAAAAATAATAAAAATGCCTACCCCCCCACCAATGCTCTGCATCACATACACACACTGCATTCATTATATACACACTGTAAATAAATATTCAATTAACCCCTTAAGGACTGGACTGTTTTTGCGATGTTGTACATTTGCGACCAGGAATATATTTACACTTTTGTGGTGTTTGTGTTTGGCTGTAATTTTCCGCTTTCTCATTTACTGTTCCCATACAAATTATATATTGTTTTTTTTCAGGACAAAATGGGCTTTCTTTACATACCATTATTTATATAATCTCATGTATTTTAATTTAAAAAAAATACAAAAATCTGATGAAAAATTGAAAAAAATACATGTTTTTTGACTTTTACTTGAAAAATCTTTTACTCATCTACAAAAGCGAATGAAAAAAA